GGGCCAAGCACTTCCAGAGGAACTGCCCAGGACAAAAGCAAGGAGGGCATCGCTTTTCAGAAAACTGCGACCCCGGATAAGGAACATCAGCGACATTGAGCTCACCTTTTCTGACCCCCTTGAAGGCTGACCCCCAGTACAGAGGCCTCCCAGATGGGGTCCGAGCAGATGGGGTGGGAGGCTCTCGCCTGATCGCCGATGCATCGGCAGTGCACCCGCGATGCGCCGGCGGCGTCGGCGATGCATCGGCGACGCCGGCGTGGAGAACATTGGCCCGTCGTCGAGCCGCATCGCCGATGCATCGGCCTGGCCATCGCTCGGACGTCCATTCCCTTTGCTTTTTTCGGTTTCGTGCGTGTTTTTGTTCGCCAAACGGTCAAGGATGCTCCTCGATGGTCCTCGCCGAAGGAAAAGTGCACACGTCCGAGCGATGCCGAGCGGCGATGCGGCGCGATCCTCCCACCCCGGCCACTCCGACCCCACCCGGGAGGCCTGGGCAGCAGCCGGCGAAGGGAGGCCTCGGAGATGCAGCGAGGCCTGGACGGCGCCGCGGGCGCGCCTCGGCCGCCCCAGGGAGCGCCACGCTGCTGCGAGAGCGCTCCGGAGCTCGCTGCAGCGATTTGCCCTGTTCCTCCTCCTCCTCCTCTCCTCGCTACTCCGCCCCATCATGCCCCTCCTCCTCCTCCCTCTCCTGACCGACTCCTCCTCCTCACTCATGCTCCTCCTCCCTCCTCCTCCTCCTCCTCCTCCTCCTCCTCCTCCCTCCCTCCTCCCTCCCTCCTCCCCTCCCGTACGCCTCCCTCCCTTCCCCTCCCTTCCTCCTCCCTCCTCCTCCTCCTCCTCCTTCCTTTTTCCTCCTCCTACCTTTTCCTCCGTCCTCCTTCTCTTCCCCTCCTCCTCCTCCTCCTCATCCTTTTTTTCCTCCTACTCCTTTCTCTTCCAATCCTCCTTCCCTCCTCCTCCTCCTCCTCCTCCTCCTCCCTCCTTCTCCTCCTCCTTCCTCCTCCTCCCTCCTCTTCATCCTCCTCCCTCCTCCCTACGCCTCCTCCGTTGTATCGGCGACCTCCGCTCTTCCTCCTCCTCCTCCTCCCCTCCTCCTCCTCCTCCTCCTCCTCCTCCTCCTTCTCTTCCTCCTGCAGTCCTGCCTGAAGCCAGCACCCAGGAATGCGGACCCGGGGCTGCTCGACGCGGAAGCACGCGACGCGGGCGAAGGTGGGCTTCGATGACCGAGGATCGAGGCACCTGGGCGTTTTGAAGCTCATGGATCATCTGGAGCCACCTGGGTTATGTTGCTCCCATCGTACTTAAGGGCCACATCCCAGAAATTATCCCAGTGCGACCCTACCTAGGAGTTGGAGCATCTAGGAAAGCAACATCTACATCTACACCGACAGCTACATTAACATCTACACCTGCATCTACATCTACATCAACATCAACAGCGATACGCACAGCTACATCTATATATATATATATATATATATATATATACACCTACACATACACCTACATCTACATCTACATCTACATCTACACCTAAATCCACATCTACACCTACACCTACATCTCCATCTACATATACAATTTCGCGTTGGTCTGCTATGCTATGATATGATATGATATGATATGCTATGCTAGGGTACGCTCGGCTGCGCTGTGTTATGCTAGGCTATGATATGTTATTATATAATGCGCAATGCCATGCTATGCTATGATATGCTATGATGCGCTATGCTATGCTATGCTATGATATGATGTGCTGCGCTATGCTATGCTATGCTAGGCTATGCTATGCTATGCTATGCTGCGCCATGCTATGTTATGCTATGCGGCGCTATGCTATGCTATGATATGCTGCGCTATGCTATGCTATGCTATGCTCTGGTATGCTCTGCTGCGCTATGTTATGCTATGTTATGCTACGATATGCTATGCTGCGCTGTGATATGCTAATCTAAACGATGCTATGTTATGATATGGTATGTTGCGCTATGCTATGCTATGCTATGCTATGCTATGCTATGCTGCGCTATGTTATGCTGCGCTATGCTATGCTGCGCTATGATATGCTATGCTATGATGTGCTATATTATGTAATGCTATCGTATGCGAATGCTGCGCTGAGCTAAGCTAAGCTAAGCTAAACTCGGCTAAGCTAAGCTAAGCTTGGCTAAGCTTGGCTAAGCTAGGCTAGGATAAGCTAAGCTAAGCTAACTTAAGCTAGGCTAAGCTAAGATGAGATAAGCAACGCTAAGCTAAGGGGACGTAACTGGGGGAACCGCGGGGCGGATGCCGGGGGAACCACCCGGGCCGGTTCCCACTGCCCGGCCCTTGAAGCATACACAGTGAGAGCCCTTCTAGGCAGAGCCTAGGTATAGGGAATAATTTCGAGCACCCGGAAGAGTGTCGAAAGAGTGTCGACACAGTGTCGAAACAGTGTCGGACGAATGTCTCCCAGGGCCCGACACGTGAAAACCCTCGAGTTTCGATACTTCTTTGGTGTTCGAAATTCTTTTCGGTGATCAAGGCTAAACTAGTTGGAACATCATAACACCTGGGGCACCCTCGTCGCACCGGCTGGACCCGCTTCGAAAGGCTGCCAGAGCGCACTCCATCGACAGGTGCACGTGGGGGCCAGTTCTGGGCAGGGGGCAGAGGAACACGTGGGCTTCCAGGCGACGCGGACCGAAAGCAACCCGAGTGGCTTCTCGAGGCTTTTGCTCAAAACCCTGTGGGAGTCCAGCCCTCCAGGAAGATGCACGTTGCGATTCATGGGAGCCCCCCATACCGTGTTGTCGGCTCTTGCGGATCGACGCTGATCGACGCTAGATCGACGGCAAATCGACGCGAATCTACGCTAACCGACGCCAAATCGGCGCTAGCTCATCGACTCCAGAAGCTTATGGACGCTAGTCGACGCTAGAGACGGAATTAACAGGGTACGCCAGGCTCCCATGACTTGCTACCGAAGAAGATTGGCTGGATGGCTTGCGCCGACGGTAGGCACGGGATCGGACTGGCGACTGCGCAATAGACCAAGACGCCCGGTGCATTCATGTGGCCATCCCTCTTTCGAAAATCGCCGGGTGAATGAGGGAAATTCGACGCGTGTTGGCTCAGCACCGCCTGCAGCCAAACGCGGCGAAAAAGCTCCCAGGGGGAAACTCAGCGGGGGCTCGTCTGCAGCGTTCGGCCGTGCTGGACGGGTGCATTTGGCCGCGGCCTCCTACCACGCGTCGCGCTGTGGTTCGTCTTTGTCGGGCCGCGTGGAGCGCGCGCTCCGCCGGTGGCTCCTCTTTCTGGAGTGCGTGCCCCAGCGGGTTGCTCGCCGCGCCCGTCTGCCAGGCTGGCCTGACCTCCCGCGCTCTTGCTCGCTGGCCTGCCGACGCCACCCCTCCTCGAGCTGCCCCCCCTGCGAGCGCAGCGATCGAGACGCCTGGCTTCGCAGAGTCCTGGGCCTCTGGGGGCCCGTTCTGGAACCTGGGGGAGGGACGATGCCATGGGCGAGGTGCCGTGGTCTGATTACTGGGCTTCTCTACCCCGGGGGCTTTACCCAGGAGCTTTGAGAGAAGAAGAAATTGGGAGGGGAGGGCTGGAAGGCCTGAGCGAAAGAGACCTTTCGCCCCGCCTCTTTGGGGGGGAGGAGGGGCTCCTCGTCACCCCCTCACCCCGTCGCCACCCTCGGATCCGCCTCGGGATCCTGGTGACACAGGGCGCTCGGGCGCTCTCCAGGGAGAGAGCTCCAGGGGTCGACCTGGACGGGGGCTCTCGAGGTGGAGGAGATGGAGGATGAGCCAGAAGAGGAGCAGCAGGAGTGGGAGGTCGAGAGGCCCTGGGGGCTGCGGCGTCGCGAGACAGTGCCGAGAGGGCGCCTCCCCCGACCCGACCGACCCAGGGCGGACTGAGCATCCAACCCGTGGGCCCAACAGGATGTCGACCCCTTCCCTGGACGGGGTGTTCCAAAACGGATCCCCACGTGCTCGACCACGGAGCCCTTCTCACACATCGGCCTCGGGCGGTCTTCGGCGCTCCTTGGAGGATCTCTGGCGGTCTCGGGAGGAGCTTCGGCGGTCTCTGGCAGTCGTCGGCACCGAGGCTGGATGGTAGCGATCGTAGCGTTTCACAGGAGCTCCATGGTGGAACACCTCACGGGCTGGTGCCTCATGTCAGAAGCTGGGCGAAGGTTGGCAAATCCGTGGCTGCTAAAACGGTCTTCCCGGAAGAAAAAACAAATTCCCGGAATGAAGCTCATCGCACAGAAATAGTAAACGGGCGGCTTCCCAGAAAGAAAGAACAATTTCCCGGAGCTCCGTTTTAGCAGCCAAGGGTTTGCCAACCCTCGCCTAGCTTCTGCTACTGGCTCCAGGGCCTGGAACCTGGAGAGTACGTCGGGTTCAGGAGAGCCACGGCGTCGGAGGCCTGCAGCTTCGGGCGCAGGGGCCCTCCCAGATCGACGCGGCGCTCGAACAACTGTTGGCTACTCGCGTGGATCCCAGCCTCGGCTGGTCCGTCCAGCGCGAACTCCGAACATAAATATGATGGTTCATTCATGGGTCTGCTCGGGGTGACCCGGAACTTCGGTGTGACTCCTGCCCCTCCGTGCTCCACTCTACAGTCGGGGCCTTGACCTAAGGAACGATACATAAGGAACGAAGCCCCTTTTTATCCCAAGGGATAACGCATAAGGAACGATACATAACACATAACACATAAGGACCTGTAAATAACGCATGCAAAATCTAAGGAACGACCGAGCCCCTTTTGAAACGTAAGTGTTCCTTATTCAAGCCGCTCACTGTATGCTTGCTGCTCGGGGCAACTCGCGCGGGCTTTGTTTCTGGGTCGGCTGGCAGGGGAATGCGAAGCGACACTGGTGCGCTTCTTTGTAATTCTCCCTTTGCCCGAATCTTGCGACAAAGAGGCCCTGTGAAGAGCGAATCGGCACGAAAGAAGGTACCCAAATATTTGCAAAGGTGGATGACTGACTTGCGCGTGACTTTTTCCCAGCGGACCTTGAACCAAGTCTGTCGCCGAGACGTGCTACAGCTTGTTTGAGCAAACTCGCTGGCATGGTCTACCTACGGCGGCTCGAAAAGCGCTCTCCCGCAAAAGCACGCAATGCGTGCAGCAACTGAAATGCCGAGAATGTCTTTCAAATCGGCCAGAAGCTGGCGACAACCATCAACAGCGACAACTTTGATGCTGATCCCCCCGTTTCGACGGCCTCACCGATCTCCGATCATTTGCTGCTGCGGCGTAAACTTTCGACACTGCTGACAATTGGCAGGCAATGCGCTGGGAAGATATCTGCAACTGAATATCTCGTTATGCGCGCGACGACCACCGCAACATAATGCGAACCGCCGCTGCCTTCAAACGACTTGCGGAAACATACTGCTTGACGTGTGGTGCATATTGTGCTCCCGCCGGACTCCCGAAACATGCGGGAACCCCAGGGCGTACTCACGATTTTCTAATCTAGTATCCAACGAAGACCCCAAACATTGTGCATTTAGGAACGTACGTGCTGTAATGAACTTGGTGCCATTCTCTCGTGGAACTCGCAGTTGTCAGCCCACTGCTCGCGCAATCTTCCCGCCCGCCCACCTCCAATTTTTTTTTTGCAGAACGCATGCGGGGGCGATTGCGATGAGCGTTCGGCCTTGGCTGGTGCATCTCTGCGGCCGCGCAAGCCCGCGCGTGGTCGCGCGCAGCGGCCAATACAAACGGCGCGACCGACGCGGCCGCGGTATGTTTTGATATATGTTTTCGGGGCACACGATTTTGAAATCGATACGGAACCCAAATATTTGGAATGATCTCGGCATGCGCGCGCGACGACGCGCGCGTGCACTTTGTCCCGTCCTGTGCAAAATATTATTGACACTTTGCTTTTATTGATAAGAGAACGCGCGCGTAATTGCTTTGGCCAACGATGACGGGGGGGTTGTGACCGGCCTGCCTTGGATGGTGCGCGTTCCAGTCGAGGATGGGCAATCACCAAAAAATGTGATTTGCAATTCGAAGAGGCGAACGGTTAAATCCGCGGGACGGGGCGGGGGGGGGATAGATCTGAATGTTTTGTTTCGAAGGGGAACCTATGTGGTGCTCCCTATGTGGACCAATCGGTTTTTACAAACGAATTGACAAATCCCATGCTCCTGCAAACGCCCCACCCGACCGCCCGCAATTTGTTTTACAAAACACATGCGGCGGCGATTGCGACGAGTGCTTGGCGTTGGCTGGTGCATCTTTGCGGCCGCGCAAGCCCGCGCGTGCTCGCGCGCGCAGCGGCCAGTAGAAACGGTGCGACCGACGGGGCCGTGGTGGCGCTGACGGCTGGGCACTGCCCAGCGGGCACTTCAGCGCGCGTCGGTGACTTGGGCGGGCGCGACATCATGGCGACGCCGACGACGGTGGATGCGATTATGAGAGTAGCGATGATGGTGGCGATGGCGGCGATGACGGCGGCGCGGCCCATTGCGGCGCCGATGTTGACCACGCCTGCTGGCAACGATGACGATGTCCTCTCGTCGGCGATGAAGGGTTTTGAAAGTCGATATGCGCGCGCCGCCGACGCGCGCGAGTGACCTGCGCGGCATTATTCGACGCGGGTCGCGTCCGCCCCCCCCCCCACCCCAGCGCGCGCAAGATCGCTCGAGTGACCCGCGCGCGCGCACAGAGCGGCCGCCTAGTCTGGCGCGACCGACGCGGCGGCGGTGGCGCTGACCGCTGGCCACATCCCAGCAGGCACTTCAGTGCAAGTCGGCGACTTAGGCGGGCGCGGAATCATGACAACGTCGGCGACGGTACACGCGATGATGCTAGTAGGGATGCCGGCGACGATATTCGCGACGACGACGGAACGGCCAGTGACGGGCACCGATGCCGATCGCGCCGACGACGACGGCGGCGCCCTCGCGTCGGCGATGAAGGCTTTGAAAAGAGTTCGGCATGCCCGCGCGGCCAACGGGCGAGAGTGGCCCGCGTGGCATTACTTGGCGCAGATCGCGCCCCCCAACCCCTCCCCAGCGCGCGCGCAAAGGCTTTCGAATGAGTTCGGCACGCGGCGCGAGATGCCCGCCTGGCTGACTTCCATGAAGACGTGGAACGCAATTTTTTCCGACGGTCTCGTCAGAGCGCGAGCGCAATTTTTTTGGACACCGGCGTTGCGAAGCCATGTGCTGCGATATGGCCACGGGGCGCCCGGCCTTGAAATCCTTGCGGGAGCCAAGGTTTTAAAATGATCCCCGCGCTCGCGCGCGACAACGCGCACTCCTGCGCTTTGTTTGTCCCTACCTAGGCTCTGCCTAGAAGGGTTCTTACTCGGCGTGCTTAAAGGGGCACGCAGTGCAACTCGCCCCGGGCGGCCCCCCCAGCACCCGCCCCGCGGTTCCCCCAGTTGTGCCCCCTGGGTTCACCCAGCTTAGCTTAGCTAAGCTTAGCGAAGCTTAGCTAAGCTTAGCTGAGCCTAGCTTAGCTTAGCTTTGCCTAGCCTAGCTTAGCTTAGCGTAGCTTAGCTTGGCTTGGCTTATCTCATCTTAGCCTTGCTTAGCTTAGCTTAGCTTTGCTTAGCTTAGCTTAGCCTAACCTAGTTTAGCTTAGCTTAGCATCGCTTACCTGAGCTTAGATTAGCTTAGCGCAGCGTAGCGCAGCATTAGCACAGCACAGCACAGCGAAGCATAGCATAGCCAAGCATAGCATAGCATAACATAGCAAATGATAGCATAGCATAGCATAGCGCCGCATCGCGTAGCATAGCATAGCATTGCCTAACATAGCACAGCGCACCATGGCATAGCATATCACATCATAGCATAGCATAGTATAGCAAAAGCAAAAAAAACAAACGCAAAGCAAACGCCACAGCAACAGCAACAGCAACACCAAAGGCAAAGGCAACAGCAAAAGCAAGAGCAAAAACTAAGGCAATGCAAATCAAAAACAAAACCAATGCGAAAGTGTAGATGTAGATGTAGATGTAGATGCAGGTGTGGGTGTAGATGTGGGTGTGGATGTAGATGTAGATGTAGATGTAGGTGTAGGTGTAGGTGTATATGTAGGTGTAGATGTAGATGTAGATGTAGATGTAGGTGTGACTATCGCTGTTGATGTTGAGGTTGATGTATATGCAGGTGTAGATGTAAATGTAGCTGTCGGTGTAGATGTAGATGTTGCCTTCCTAGATGCTCCAACTCCTAGGCAGGGTCGCACTGGGATAATTTGTTCCAAGGGGTTCTTGTGACAGCACCCGCGCAAAGGCGCGCGAACGATTTGGATGCGCCCGCAAGCGCAAGCGCGCGCTTTGTTCTGAAAGCCCGAATTGCAGAATCATGTGTTCCATCTGTTTCTGGCCGCTCGGTTTTTTGACATCCTTACGACACCTATTGTTGTTGACTGCTTTCGGCATGCGCGCGACGACGCGCGCTTGCTCTTCGCCGCGCGTTTTGCTTGCAAGGGGTTCTTGGAGACCGATGATTTGTGCAAAGCGAGTGCGCGCGCATATTTTGGCGCGAAAGATGGCGGAGTGGTCGACGCCGGTTTCCCCGGGGCGGTGCGCATTCATATGTAGCATGGGCGTTGGGGCAGAATCAGATGCAGCATTCCACGCGATAAAGGAGGGGTATTCCTGGGGGGCGGAGGTAACATCTAATTCCTTTTAAGAAAAGAAGTGACAACCCTGAGCCGCGCTCAACCACCTCCCATGATCTTGCAAACATCCCACCCGCCCACCCGCAAATTGGCATGCTTAACCCATGCGGCGGCGGTTGCGACGAGCGCTCGGGGTTGGCCGATGCATCTCCGTGGCCGCGCTGGAACGGGCATGCTCGCGCGCGCAGCGGCCAGCTAAGTCTGGCGGGGCCGACGCGTCCGCGGTGGCGCTGGCCGCTTGGCGCTTCCCGGCACAAGAACAACACAATAAAGTTGAAAAACATACTACGCCCCTGCACAGCGGGCGCATCATCAAGCTGCTCGGTGGGGAGTTGATCGAGGTGATATCGGGGACTGTTGGCCGGGCGCTATGCTCGCGCCATCGCCGACAGCGGCGGGCACGATTTGCGAGGGTAGCGACGCTGCGGGGTAAGCGATGAAGGGGCAGAGGTGGCGACGGCGGGAGAGGGCGGGGTAGGGGGCCGGAGAAAGGGGGGGGTGGGGGCGACGGAGGGAGTGGGGCGGGGTGGAGGTGGGGGTGAGCGAGGTGGAGAGCGTGGAGGGGGGGGGACGCAGGTCAACGACGGCGCCGAATGTGATCGCGCCCGCCTTTACCATAACGATGTCCTGCGTCTGCGATGAAGGTGCTTCAAGGAATTCGAAACGCGCGCGCGGTGGACGCGCGCGAGTGGCCCGCGCGGCATTATTTGACGCGGATCGCGCTCGCCCCCCCCCCCCCACACACACAGCGCACGCCAGGGCGTTCGAATGAGTTCGCCATGCGGCGCGAAGGGCCCGTTCATCAGAATTCGATGAAACAAATTGATGGCCCGACGGTCCCAAGGGCCCGCATGGGCGCGGGCGCTAAGCCGACGGTACAAAAAGCGCGACAACAAGGCGGAAAAAGCGGAGATTTTCCCCGACTGGCCGTTGAAAAGCTTATCATGAAAAATAAAAAAACCTACGACCCAACAGCCACAACACAACCTCAACCACCTACGACACCTAACAACCTTCCCTCTAAACCATCCCAAACTACCGAACAACCCACCACAATACAAACCCTGACAGACAACAACTCTCTCCCCGCACCCGCCACACACACTCTCTCCTCCCGCAAACCGCCAAACTCTTACCCCCCACAACCTCCCAACCCACACAGCCACCCACACCACAGCCGGCCGGACTCGCAAGACGCTCTTTCCCCACCACCCCACACTACGTCACCACCCAACACCACACACCCCCACCCCGTACTCAACCACACATACACACATTGTTTCCGAGTGATCAAAATTTTGACATCCCAAGAATTCAAAGAAAAACCGTATCATTGTTTCCTGGGGGATTTCGGCGCGCGCGCACGACGACGCGCGCGCGTGCACTTAGCCACGATTCTCTTGCAATGGATACAGCGACGGCGCGAGCGCGGGGGCGCTCGATGGATGTCGACGCGCGCGCGAGAGGCCAATTTGGAAGTGCGCCATTATTGTTCCAAACAGAAAACTATAGTTTTCTTCGGGGTTCGGAAAAAAGCGGGCGCGCACTTCGTTGGTTTGAAAACTCGCGCTGCAAAAACACGCGTTGTTGATGTCCGTCCGCGGCAATCGATATTGGAATCACTGCGAAACCGAATGTCCCTCCAGGATTCCGGTGCACGCGGGCGACGACGCTCGCGCGCGCTTCGTCTTATTTTCGCCGCGGGTTTCTCACGCCTGCATTGATGCAAGAGAGCGCGCGCGTTAATATCTGTTACGAAGGATGGCGGGGGGGGGGGGGGGGGGTCGACGCGGGCCCACCCGGGGTGGTGCGAGTTCATATTTGGATGAACGATTGGGCAATCACATGAAAATTGCAAAACAGACGCGCGGGCGCTTCAATCCTGGGAGGGCGGGGCGGGGCGGGGGGCGGTTAGAATCTATCGCCCGTTTAGAAAGGAGACCGCGTGCGGTGCTGCGCGGCGCGCATGAAAAAAAAGAAGCAAATGTTGCCCAAGATATGCGGCGCCGTCTGCGCGGCGCAACTCGCAGTGCCGAACTTGCACTTGACAACCTCACTGCTCGCGCAACCGCCCCATCCACCCACCGGCAACTCGGTTGCCAATCCCGCGCGGCGACGCGCGAGATGACTGTCCGACGCCGGCTGGGACATCGCCGCGGCCGCGCCAGCGCGCGCAGGCTCTCGCGCCGAGCGGCCGCCTGGCATGGCGCGACCGCCGCGGCGGCGGTGGCGCTGACCACCGGGCGCTCCCCAGCGCGTCTGGCAGGCCGCTCGGACGCGCGGGCACTGCAGTGCGAGTCGGTGGCTCGGGCGGGCGCGGCATCGCGGCGACGTCGACAACGGCAGACGCGATGGCGACAATACCGATGCGGGCGACGATGGAGACAATGACGAAAGCAAGGCCAACGCCGATGCTGACCACGCCGATGACGACGATTCGGCCCCCGCGTCGGCGACGAAGGTTTGGGGGGGATTTTGACGCGCGCGCGCGCGGCCGACGCGCGCGCGGCCCGCGTAGCATCAGTTGACGGGGTCGCCCCACCGCAGCGCGCGCGCAAGAGCGTTCGAATGATTTGGACATGCGCATGCGAGAACCCCGTCGGCCGCGTGCGACGCACGCGCTGGGAAAATGGTGTTCGAAAGAATTCGCAAGATTGCGCCGACTTTGTTTCTCATGCCCAAAAAAACACATTTCAAAACCACTGCTGCTTCGCATGTTTGCGGGGCGCTCGATTTTGAAAGCCTTGCCGAACTTAAGATTTTCCATGATTCCGGCGCGAGCGCGCGACGACAAACGCATGGAGAACGACCCCTGCCCCCCGCGCGAAGAACTTTAGCCCGATGGGACTGTCGAGCGACGCGCGAACTGCAAGCGGAAACTGCTCGACGGTCAGCCAGCGACAACGCTGCGCGATTCCATGCGAAGGTCGCGATGCTGCTCATCGGCGCTTGAACATGGCGTTGCCTTGTGCCGACACGCGGCCAATGCCCGAAGTCATTGTGGATATTCGCGCGCTCAGGCCAGGGCAAAGACCAAAGGGCTCGTCGGCCCTTGGCGGCGCTGGCAAAGAGACCCGGACGGCGCCCAGGGCACGCCCCGCACGGGCGCGCATCGAAAAGTTTAGATCCACTCCAAAAACAAAGTTTTGGTCCCAGGCGAAAGAAAATCAATATAACATCGATGGACACTGGACACTTCTCCGTCTCGCGCGGGAGAGCCCCGAACAGTTTGCACAAACAGGAAAATGTGCTTACATAGTTACAAAAAAATAGATTGGACCAGTTGCCTCGAGAGGAACGCCCCCGATCTGAACTTTCCCGTCGGCGGGGCTATAATGGACGAGCGCGCTCCACTACTCGCAAAGTAACTACTCGCAAATGACCCGGGCCCAACGCAGAGAACCCACTATACTTACATTACATCACAGCGGACATGTGTGTTTTTTTCTGACGTTTGCGAGTAGGCACTTTGCGAGTAGTGGAACGCGCTCGGTGATATAAGGGGGGGACGGAAGCGGGGGCGGGGGCCCTCGGCTGGGCCAGCGGCGCTGCCGTGCGATGGACAGCGCCGCCGTCGTCTAAAACTGTATGCCGCGGTCGTGGTATATACGCGCGGCCCTGGGAATGCCGTCGCGGCGCGGCCGCGTCGAGCGGGCCTAGGACATCGCCGCGCGCGCGGGCCCCCCTCTGCGGCAGGTGGGTCTGGCCTCGCCAACAGGGCACCTACAGTCACGCACGTTCGCCATACATGCAAAACGCTGCCATGTAAAATCCATAGTTGTGAGGGCTGGAGTCGGTTAAGGGGGGTTAGTGAACATGGAAGGTTCTGGATACAAAAAACGCGCATGATAGTATAAGGCAAGAGTGAGAAGGGGGCGCCAGAAAATTCATGGTTGGAATGATACGATTTCGTGCTTTATGAAGAACGATGGGGCAACATCGAATGTAAATCGCGCCCTCCCAAGGGGTACGGATCATGCCGGCCTCGGGAAGGCGGTGGATCCAAATTCCTTCTAACACCGGAGAAAATACGTGTTCCAAAATATGTTGAAAAATCGTTGTGGCGCGCTCACACTCTATGTTGTGCACTCTATGTGGTTCATGTGGCGGCGACGAGGCGGCGACGGGGCGGCGACTGCAACAATATACCGGCCAAACCGCCACAATGGCCCAGATTACGAGCGGCGACGATGCGGCGACGGTGCGGCGACCGCGACAACATAGTCCCCAGACCGCCACACCAGCCCAGACGACGGGCGGCGACGAGGCGGCGATGGGGCGGCGACCGCGACGACATAGCAGGACATAGCCGCCAGACCGCCACACCGGCCCAGACGACGGCGCGGCGACAGGGCGGCGACGGCGACCGCATAGCCGCAAGACTGGCACACCAGCCCAGTTCCTTAGAAAAGGAATGACAGCCCCTAAGGACACACACACACACTTTTTATGATAATCTATATAGATGGAGACAGAAGGAAGAGAGAGAAAAAAATAAAGAGAGAGAGAGAGAGAGAGATAGAAAACAAAAAAAAACAGAAACAAAGAAATCCCTATGTACGTACATGGGGAGGGGAGCCGCGCATGGGGTCAGGAGGCCAAGCATGGGAGTGTAGGGAGGGGAAGAGTCGAAGGCTTTGGGCCGCCCTGGAGCGTCATCGCCGCCACTGCTGGATTCGCCTCGAAAGTGCAGCCAGAACGCACCCAGGAGCAAGTCCAGGTATCGGTTTCGAGACCTACATTCCAATACGCCGACGTCTTGAAAGTCAGAACAGATTTTCGAGGCCCCGGCCCGTACCTCCATCTAGCGGATTGATATGTCTCTATCTTGGCGGCTTCAATATATTTGCGCCTCCACAAGGAAGTACTTTCGGAACCCATGGGCCGTCAGAAAGCAACCCGGCAGCCGAAACCCGCCCACAGCCTTAACATGACAACGTAGAACCACTTATTCGCCACGGAGACCCCTTTGGTGCGCATTTCATTTCCGGGCACTTCCGTCCCTAAGTGGCTGACAGAATCAATCCTACCCTGTGGCGCCTGCGCGCTCCCTGGCGGCCCCTTGCTCGAGCGACCCAGCGGTCTGCGTGCAACACCGGGGTGACCTTGGAGCTCCCGAAGAAGACAAAACGCCATAAACATAAAGCGTTGGCGCTCCGCGCGGATTTCTTGGATCTGCGCTGGACCCTCCCTCCCTGGCGCGCGGAAAGAGCGCGCCAGGGGCGGCGTCGGAGGCGCCGCCGCGAGGGCCCAGCGCGGATCCAAGAAATCCGCGCGGAGCGCCAAAAGTTCGTGCTCATGGCGCGCTGTCTCCTTCGAGGCTCTCAAAAGGCAACGAGTCGGGGGTGCCCCAGCAGGCGTTTCGCCCGAGACGCCCCCACGATCTGGCCGCGCCCCGGGGCGAGTGCCGCAGCCCCCTTCCCGGCTCCTCCCTGGCAGCTCCAGGATGCGATGCCTGGCGTCTCGTCGTGACCGCGGGGCTCTGCACGGGGCGGGGTCGCGGGTGCCCGGGATCCGCGAACCGCTCACGATCCGCCCCCCGCCTGGGCGCGATTGGGCACGCGCAGCACGCTCCCCGGCGGCTCCTCCTGGGGGTGCCCACGTGCTGCGCCTGCTCCACGGGAGGCGAGCGACCACGAAGCGTTCCAGAGGCAGGAGTCGGGGCCGCCGGGCAAGCGAGCCGCTCAAGGCACCGCCGCAAGCCGATCGCGAAGGTACGCATGCAGCCATGATTGGCTGACCTTTTTCCATCTAGCAGTGGTCATGCGGCTCTGAACGGAGAGGAGTCGGGACTGCCCAACCCAGCGAACCGCTCGAGACATCCCCGCAACCGGGGCGCGAGGGCGCACGTGCAACACCCCCTCTGCCGGGTCGTCTGTGCTGTGCTTAAGCGGCGCGGCATGCCTTGAGGCCCTAAAAAAAGGGACTCTGGGCCGCTAAACGAGCGAACCGCGCGAGAACGGGGAACCGTCCCACCCCCTGGCGGCTCCTCCTTGGAGTGCCCACGTGCTCTGCCTGCTATATCGCCATGGCCATGAGCGAGTCTGCATGCGAGGGGCGAATCTGATGGGCCCCATCGCACTCGCTCCTCATGCTCAGCCTCGCTCACCAGACTCCCCCATCAGATAGGGGAGGAGGCGGGAAGAAAGGAGGAGACACGAGGGAGGCTGAGGCATCACGCGAATTACAAGGACACCATCGTAGGCTACGCTTAAAAGAAGACTACAGGCGGTCGGCAACATGCTGGAGGCCCCGCGCCGGTCTCCGGAGCCGGCGCTGGGCCCGCCCCCATCCCCCGGCGCGCGCAGCTCGCCAGGGGGCGGCGCCGCAGGACCTCCAGCTGGGGGAGTCCAGCGCCGACCCGAGCAATCCGCGCGGGACCTCCGACAGCGTGCGTCCGCGCTGCTCCAATATTCGCTCCTGTATATCGGGCCGGGCGAGAGGGGGGGATAGCAAAGAGGGGGTTGAGAATCAGCTCACGTGGCTGATTTTCCCGGCGCCTCCCGGCCGGGGACAAGCCTCCCTTTCGTAAACCACCCTCTGGTGCAAACGGCCTATAGGACCCAAACCGACGGACCTGGACCCGCAAAAGTAACGGCTGCGACGCCCCCTCGCGAACCGAAAAAGGCCAATGCACTAATCGACGCGTCAGGGCAGGAGGTCCATCCAACGCCGACCTTCGCTCCTGTATGTACAAAGACCGGCCACTCCCGCCGGAGGTCCGGGGCTCCAATCTACAGGGCCTCGGCCCGCGGAGGGAGGTCGCAGTCCTCCGCCTCTGGGGCCGGGGCCCGCAGATCGCGGCGGCACACCGCGCACGACTGCACGCCGCGGCTGCACATCTGGCGCGTCAGCCAAGCCCTCAGGCAGTCTTCGTGGAACGTATGACTGCACGGCGTTGTCCTGGTGACGTCGTCCGGGCACCACTCGGACAGGCAGATTGCGCACTGAGTGGGGCACTCGCCCCGCTCCGGGTCGTCGGCGGACCCTCCGTCCAAGACTGTAACGCGCAGCTTCCCTATGACGACTGCCACCGCCGCCTCCGCTTCTGCAGGATCGCTGCCTTTGGCACGCTTGGCTACCACCCTTCGCACTTCCGAGGCCTCGACGTACCTGGTCAAGATGATGAGGCCAAAACTCATGCACCAAACCGACTCGAACCACGAACACCATAACGGGTGCAACAACATGATTCCAGCTGCCTTGAACAGCGACGAGACGAATCCGGCAGGGACCACCACTGAGACTGCTGTCCTCACGCGGGCCGCCCGATTCCGCTTATCGAAGCAGCACACCCCGAGAGCGAGCGTGGAGAACATCAGCGCCGCCAGGAGCGCCCAGTCTGCTGCCACCGCGACGGGGGCGCGAGCGCACGAGGACTCCAGGTCAGGCGCAATCCTGGAAGGACCACGCAAGAACGACTCGGACAGAAACTTCCAGAGGTGCGCGTGGGCTGCTCGTGTCGGCGCTGGGCACCCCTTCCCTACATTTAGGTCGGCCATGTCCCTCCACAGGAGGAACACGCGGGAATAGTAAAGAAATCGTCAGGGGACGATGTTCTACTCATCTGGACCATTTTTCCCCAATCAGTGCTTGCACTGAAAGGAACATGAAAGATTTGGCGAAAGTCTCCCGCCGATTTTGGTAGCAGGCTGGGTTCCCGGGTTCCTGGGTCCGGGTTCCCAGGCTCCCAGTTGTTGGTTCCGAGCCGATTTCGGTGGGTTCTGGGTTCCCGGGCTCCCCGTTTCCCCGTCGATCTCCTCAGCGAAAGCCATCCACTGAGTGGGGTTCTTCTCTGGTGTAATTGCATACTTTTGGGGATCGTTTACTCCAGATTTCAAAATAAAAGGGAGGGGGTCTCAACCCTCCCGGACGAGAAGTTTTAGACACCCCCCCTGGGAGAACCCTCCAAAACATCGTCCCCAGACCCCCCCAGGCCCTCCAAGATAGCCTGGAAGAGACCCCCCCCGAAATGACCCCCCCCTTTATTACGAAATCTGGAGTACGTTCTTCTTCGAACGCCCGCCTGTTGGAGGACGTGCCCGGCCCCCTCCTGGCGCGTGGGGCCGCCGCCGGAGGCGCGCCGCCCAGGCTCGCGGAGGGGGGGGGGGAAGGCCCCGCGGCGGCCCGAAGGGAAGTCGGCTTTGGAGTCTCCGAGCGCCGACTCGCAGCGCACCGTCGGCCCGTGTGTCGTGAGAAATGCGCGACGGGGATGCAACAGATGCGAGGCGGGGATCTATCCCGATCCACCGCCCGGGGACCGACGTCCTGGTGCCCCCAGCGGGCGGCGGACACGGATATAACGTTGGCCCCCGGGGGGCCCGCATGTATCCACATCCGCCGCCCGCCGAGGTCCCCCCGCAGATTGATCCTCCGGGCGGTGGTCATGTAGAAAGTCTCGCCGCGGAAGAGAGGGGCCCACGAGCTCTGCTGCATCCAACTGGTTTCGACACCGACGCCAAGCGCCTCCTGCGCAGGGAGGCGCCAGAGAAGTCCGCCACGTGAGCCGATTTGCTCACCTCCCGTCTGCTAGCCCCTCCTTCCGTCCGACCGATGGTTGCCGTCCGGTGCGACGGAGGGGAAGGAACGGGGGGGCGGAGAGAGGGACACACGGAGCCGGAGGCGGTGGAGCCACGACATTGTCAGGGCCCAGGCAGGCCATGTCGAGGCTTTTCGAGCGGGGCGCGGCCAACGAGAGTGGCCGAGGATGGGCCGAGGAGGCAAGGATGCAAGGGTACCCCTGGGAAGGATGCCCATCCTTGTCTCGGGCGTTGGCAGGACTGGGTTCAGTGGGACCTGGTTTAGCGATGTGTACTGGGGGGCGCTTCCCCCGCCCCGCTCCACTGACCGGAACTGCCGTCACCCGAAACCACAGCAGCCACGGCAGACCTGGTTTTTACTAACTCTGGCCAGCTCCGAGGCCCCACCACTCGCCGGGCCCCCCCCCCCCTGCCCGGGGCCCTGGCTAGGGCCGGGCCGAGGCTGGCAGGGATGTGGAAAGGCGCCGAGGAGGCCGAGGAGGAGAGGAGGGGCGAGGAGGCGAGGCGTGGCCGAGCAGGGGCCGAGGATGGGCACCCTGTTGGGGAGGATTAAAAGGGCCCCAGGACAAACAAATAGATACACACAAATAAAAAGCTTCCCCATATTTTCTGGGTTCTCGTCTTCCCCCCCACTTCCCCTATTTTCCTACATTTTCCTGGGGGTCGACGATGAATTGTGTCTGTGTGTGTTTTTGTCCCTCCTGAAGGATGCCCATCCTTCCGGTGCGGGCGAGCTGCAGCTCCACCCGCAGAAACCCCCGGTGTTCGCGTGCCAGTGGTTTTGTTTTTGCGGAGTTGGGCGCCCTGGCGCGGACGGCCGAACGACCCCTGCAGCAGGACACCCTGGCCACGCGGGCGCCGCCGCAAAAACTGCCCGTTCAAGCCTGGCGCCGCGCAAAGGCGAGGATGGGCGAGGAGGCGAGGCGTGGCCGAGCAGGGGCCGAGGATGGGCACCCTTTTGGGGAGGATGCCCACCCTTCCAGTGCGGGCGAGCTGCAGCTCCACCCGCAGAGACCCCCGGTGTGCGCAGACGCGAGCGCGGGCCCGCGCACCCCGCGCCCAGCTCCTCGGCACGCCGCCCCCCCGCGCATATATCGGGCCCCGCGGGGAGCCGCGCCGTCTCTTCGGCTCCCCGCGCCCTCTCCCTCCCTCTCTCGCGCTCTCTCGCCCTCTCTCTCTCTCGCCCTCTCTCTCCCTCGCGCGCTCTCTCTCGCGCGCTCGCCCTCTCTCCCTCTCTCGCTCTCACTCTCTCGCTCTCGCTCTCTCTCTCTCTCTCTCGCGCGCGCTGTCTCGCGCGCTCGCCCTCTTTCTCTCTCTCTCTCTCTCTCTCTCTCGCTCCCTCGCTGTCTCTCGCGCTCCCTCTCTCTCTCTCTCTCTTTCCACTCTAAGCCGCTCCATAACGCTCGATCCCTCCCGCCCGCGGCGGCGCGCAGAGCACGGGGAGAGGGCAGCTAGCCCTGCGCTGCTACGTGCAGCTGCACAGGCTTGGGCCATTGAAGGGGCCCCAGGACACACAAATAAATACACACAAACACACAAATAAAAAGATTCCCCATATTTTCATGTATTTTCTGGGTTTCTGTCTCCCCCCCCCCACTTCCCATATTTTCTGGGGGATCGAGGATTAATTGTGTCTGTGTGTTCCTTTTCCTCCTGAGCTTGGGCCATGCGCCATGCAAACTATGTGGCCAACTCCGGCCACCCCGAAAGAAAACGTGCTGACAACTCACTTTTGCGTTCGCCGCTTTCCGCCAGATTTCCGCCGCCCTCCTTCGGATGGCGTGAGCCGCCGGCTCACACCCGCCGAAAGCAAGCAAGATGTACCAAAAGCGGGGCCCTCCCTGTGATGACTTGTGATGCCGTCTTTGGAAGCCATCGTTCAGCCGGGCATGTCCCTCTACAGGAGTAAAATTCAAGAATGGTAGAAACATACAATAGTCTGGGGACGAGGTTTCGTGATCTTTTAGCTATTTCTGAATATTTCTTGGCGATTGTACTTTTTCATCGAAAATCCGCCTGTAGGAGGACAGACCCGACCTAAGGCCATCGAAGTCCTCCACAGATACACGACCGCGAACAGGCTGGACGACACGCCGGCCAGGAACGTGGTCCACAGGTCCTTGGCCGAAGCCCCGTCAGCCTCGTCCTCGCCGCCCGCGCGGGGCCGCGCCACGGCAGCGGCCATCCCCTCCCCGCGCGGGGCCGCCGTGCGCGTGCTGTGCTGCAGCGGCCCCTGCTCAAGAGAAAGAACAGCAGCATAAACCTGACCTTTCGGCGCTGCGCGCGGATGTCTTGGATCCGCGCTGGGCCTCCCGCCCCCCCAGCGGCGCCTCCTGCGCCGCCCCATGGCGCGCTCCGCGCTCCAGGGAGGGGGGGCCCAGCGCGGATCCAAGACGTCCGCGCGCAGCGCCGGGAATTTGGTCACGCTGTGCTCATGCCGTTGCTGTTCTCCTGCGACTGCTGTGACTATCTACCAGACCACCCCAACCCAACCCGAAGACCCGAATTTCGGGTGGGGTGGGGGGGGATGGGCTCCATATGTGTTTTTTTCATGTTCCCGGACCCCCCCCCCCACTGGAAATGGGGGGCAAATTGAGGCCTTCGGGTTGGGTTGGGGTGGTTTGGTGGGTGGTGATGCTGGAGCGCTCGGGGCGCTCGCGCGCGGTGCCGCGCTGCAGCGGCCTCGCCGCGCAGCGCCCACGCGCGCGGCGGCCTTGAGCCGGACAGGCT